GAACTAGAGGAAAGTTGTATGTTTCATCATTGCTACATCACACCCTGACTGGCTCATCTCCCCGAGACCCTTCTGTAAGGGGATGTCAGTGACCTACAAATGGGCTTTGGGTCCCCACTTCGCACTCCCTCCCTCATTCACAATGAAATAATTTTTTGTTCTGAGGATGCCTGATACCTGATCCCTTTGACACCTCGTGATCACACAGGCTGGTGTGATGGTGTCAGATCAGGTGCAATTCCCACACTGTCTCTCCAGTGTTGTCCCCTATAGGGCTATGGGTCAGTGGGGGATGTCGTGTCTCATAGTGGGGCCGGTCATATGGTCCTCTCTGAGGATTGATTGCTCTGAGCGGGAATATCGTCAGGCTTGGTGGGCCAGCATGTGCTTCACTCTCTCTTCCTCCCCCTTCATCTGCTCCCGTGTGCTCTGATCAGACATGTCCCTCACCCTGAGCTGCAGCTTCCGTGCTGTCCTCTGAAGTAAATTCTTTTTTGGGGGGGAGGGGCGCCATCATCATTTTCTAAACATTTACTTTCGATTTGAACCCTTTGTATCAGCTCCTCTTTTCCCCCTCCCTCCCCCCATCACCCTCATGACCCCTTGATAAATTATACGTTATTATTGTTTTTATATCTTACACCAACCACTGTCTCCCTTCACCCACATTACTGTTGTTCAGCCCCCTGGGGGAGGAGATTATGTGGGGATCATTGCGATTGGTTCCCCCTTCCTCCCCTCCTCCCCCCACCTTCTTCCTATCCCCCTGGTATCACTACTCCCAATTCTGTTCCTGAGCGGTTTATCTGACCTGGATTCCGTGTTTCATGAGCTCTTATCTGTACCAGTGTCCATGCTCTGGTCTAGCCAGAACTGAAAGGCAGGACTGTGGTCATGATAGTGAGGGATGGGGTGGGGTGAGGGAGCCTCAAAGATCCACAGGAATATTGTGTGTTTCATCAGTGCTATACTGCACCCTGGTTGACTCATCCCTTCCTTGTGGTCCTTCTGTGAGGGGATGTCCTATTTTCTACAGATGGGTTTTGGGTCTCTGCTCTGACCCCCCTCATTCTCAACAATATGGGTTTTGGTTTTTGTTTTGGGTCTTCTAGTGCCTGTTACCTGATTCTGTCAACACCTCATGATCACACAGGCTGGTGTACTTCTTCCATGTGGGCTTGCTTCTTCTCAGCTAGATGGCCACGTGTTTAACTTCAAGCCTTTAAGACCCCAGGTGCTATATCTTTTGATAGCCAGGCACCATCAGCTTTCTTCACCACATTTGCTTATGCACCCATTTTGTCTTCAGCAATCCTGCTGGGAAGGTGAGCATCACAGAATGCCAGGTTGTTAGAACAAACTGTTCTTGCATTGAGGGAGGGCTTGAGCAGAGGCCCACAGTCCATCCACTTCCTCAATGTATTGCCATATAAATATATGTAATAAGCCAATACCTCTATTTTTATGAATTAATATAATTACATAAGTGCACACCTATGTTTATACCTCTAGCCATAGATTTGCTTCTTAGATCTTTCCTCTGTTTCCTTTTACCGTCCTCCTGCCCCACCATCATGTTCATCCTTCTTCTGCCTCTTAGCAAGTCCTCTCAGCTAGATAGCTGTTGCTCCAACAGACTGGGATCTCTACGTCCTCCTCCTTGTTGATTTTAATTCCCTAGTTGTTCCCCTGTCTATGGTGTTGTTTGCTCACCGCTCCTTTCTCCTGCCTCCTCCTCCCCCAAGTCCCTCCGGAACCTTTGGTCCTGTTGCTTTCTCCTCCGGCTTGCTTCCCAGGCCTGTCTTGTATTGGTAGACAAAACAACAATAGCAGACACAAAACGGAACGAAAACAAGAGATTGAATAAAAAGAGAAAAAACAAACAAAAAACAACAACAAAAGGAAAAAGCACACATAATTCCAGGTCTGTCTGCTGATCTTTATGACTATCTCCCCACTGGCCCTGGGGGGTTCCGGGAACTGCCCCTCCTAGCCTGAAGTCTATTGGGGGGGCTCCTGGGGGGGGGGTTGTGGCTTTGCTTTACTCTAGTTCCTGATCTGTTATGTTCCCTTCTTGGGTTGCCCTACTGTGTGGGAGGGTCAGGGTGGACTCACTCCCCACTGTGTGTCCTAGTATGGTCCTCTGTTTCTGTATCCTTCAGCGAGGGGACATCATGTCTCGAGCTGTCGTTGGCCCTACAGTCTTGTCTGTGCTTTAGTAGCTCTATGCGGGGACATCGTCCTCAGGGCTGGGTGTGTCAGGATGGGCTCTAGTCCCTCGCTCTCTTTTCCTTCTTGGCTTGCGTCTGTGTGGGCATGGCAGGCAGGCCCCTCGCCCCCACCTGCAGGGTTAGCGTTGTCCTCTGTTGCACATATTTCTAGAGTGGGGTGTATGTGTGTGTGTGTGTGTTGGCTTGGCTCTGATTGGGGCTGGCCCTGTAGACCTCTCTGTTCATGAGTTGCTCCATGTGGTTACGTTGCCCTCAAGGTCTGGCGTGCCATGGTGGGGTCTGCGCTCACACTCTGATTACTGTGGAGACATAAACGATACCCTCCACTTAGGGGGTGAGTACCCTGCTCCCCCAGTGCCGTGGTCTCCCTCCTTTCCCCCCTCCTTTTTCTCCCCCTCCCCCCTTTTCCCTTCTTTGTGTTGGAATCACATGCTCTTCTTTGGGTTTGGTCTGTCCCCCGCCCGATTGCCTGTCCCTCAGCCCGTACAGTGTGAGGTCAGTGGCTGTTCTTCTGTACCTACTGTGCTGCTTATACTTACCTCAGGGGACCATGTTGCACTTGCCTTTTTGTGATTGGCTAACTTCACTTAGCATATTTCCTCCAACTCTTCCCATGAGACGAAGTGCTTCATGTGACCATCAGTGCTTTTTAGGGATCTGGAGGGCTCCATGGTGTGTATGTGCCAGAGTTTTCTAATCCACTTGTCTATCAATGGAAATTTAGGTTGTTTCCAATTCTTTGTGATTGTGAATTGCGCCGCAATAAACATTGAAGCGCAGACGACTGGTTGTGGTCTATGTCTTACCTCTTCTGGGTACGTGACCAGGGGAGGGATTGCTAAGTCGTCGGGTAGCTCAATTGCCATTTGCTTTAACTATCGCCAGATCACTTTCCACATTAGCTGTACACATCTACATGACCACCGGCAGGGTGGGAGGGTTCCTACCTTCCCACATCCCCTCCAACATTCATTGTTCTCTGATTTTCTGATTTGGGCGATCCCCAAGGGTGTTAGGTGGTATCTCACAGTTCTTTTAATTTGCATTTCTCTGCTGGCTAATGATCCAGAGCATTTTCTCATGCTTATTTGCCATTCAGGTCTCCTCTCTAGTGAAACTTCTGTTCAGGTCTTGCCCACTTCCTCAGGGGGTTAATGGTTTTCCTCCTTTTGCAGGCCAGAAGGGCATTGAAGATTTTAGTAATAAGCCCTTTGTTTTGTCATTGCTAAAAATCCTCTCCCAGTCTGTGGCTTCTCTTGTTACCCTCTTGGTGAAGTCTTTTGATGCACACAGGTGTTTTATCCTTAGTACATCCCACTTGTTGATTTCAACTTCATCTGTGTGTGTGTGTGTGCGCGCGCTCGCTTCCCTATTTCAGTTATCCTATGACTTCCCCAAGCAGACCCTTTAAAGAGGAACATGAACGTGTGGGCTCCCAGAGGGAGTGCAGGCTGGTGCTGGGCTCCAGGCTCCTGTTCGAGGCTCAGGGCCGTAGCATCTCCCCCTGGGCCCCTCTACCCGAGAGTTCATAGGGCAGCACCGAGGAACTTACTAGAATATCCATTAAGGCCCCTCTGGCACAGTGCTGGGCTCCGAGGGGTGTAGTGAACACCCTGCCCTTCCCGCACCGTGCAAGAGGTTGGCCAGACCAGAGCTGCCCTGGTGCCGAGGAGGGTGCGCATGGGTCTGAGCTCAGGGCAGCAGTGGGCGATGTGCCTCTCTGGAGGAGTGGGGTGCCAGCGTAGAGAGAAGTATTTCTCCAGCCAGTTTGTGTGCCCGGCTCCGTGAACGCCTCGCATCATCCCCGTGGCAATACCCAACGGCAATTTTCACACTGAGCCGTTCTTCCAAGGAAAGAGGACAGAGGAGAGAATGGTCTCTGTTTCAGGCAGCTGTCATTAAAAACAAAACCAAAAAAATACACTGTTGAGAAGAAATTCCAAGAGAGCAAAACCCAAAAATGAGAAAAAATTATTCCATTTAAAAAATCTTTGACATTATATTGCTTTTGTTCAAATTCTAAATAATTAAATTTCATACTGAAAATGAGAGTAAATATCATATAAATTTTTTAAAAAACACCACCCGCAGCTGGCTTAGGAGACCAGAAGCACATTGCTCGGTCCTGCAGGCTGGGGGGTGGGGAGTGGGAGGTGGCGGCCAGGCTTGTCTGCAGCACACCTTCTCTCTGTGGCTCCAGAGATGGGGCCCTGTCAGTCGTCCTGGCTTCTGGTGGCCCCTGTGCTCCGTGACCTGCCCGGGGCATTTCAAACGGCCGTCTCCCCTCCCCCTCCTGTCACTAGCTTGTGTGGTTTCCGAGTAGGGAGAATGAACGTGGAACCAGGCACACACACACACACACACACACTACAGGACCGCAGCACAAAATAGACACAGACAGAGATGCTACAAAACTGCAGCCTTGACGGACCACAGTGCTTTATTTTTATGTACTAAATACTGGCAGTGTCCCCAGATAAGTTCGCTATTCCCACGCTTGAATGTCTCAAAGCCTTGACAGAGTTCCATATCTCAGCCCATACCGCCCTTGTTTACTGCTCCCAGGGAACACTGTGTGCAGCTGTTCCCCAAATTCCTTACTGTTGGCAGTACGGAAGCAGTTTGTGAGAACCAGCTAGGGCAGACGTTTGCGCACTGTCCTAGACAGATGCATGCCATAAGACACGGCCCTCCTTACGTGGCTCCTTCCCTAACTCTTCTCTGAGATGCTCACACTGAGTTTGTTGCCCAGTCCAGCGTGACCCCGTGCTGAGAACACCTTCAGGGGCCCTCTTTCCAAGGAAGGCCACATTCTCAGGACTGGAGTCAGGACTCCCCGGTATCTTTTCCGGGCACACAATTCAACACTTACTTGTGCTGGGAGCTTCCTGAACATGACCTCTCTCTCTCTTTTTTTTTTTAAATCATTTTATTGGGGGCTTGTACAACTCTTATCATAATCTGCCCATACACCCATTGTGTCAAGCACATTTCTACATTTGTTGCCATCATCATTCTCAAAACATTTGCTTTCTACTTACACCCTTGGTATTAGCTCCTCATTTCCCCTCTCCCTCCCTCATGAACCCTTGATAATTTATAAATCTTTTTTTTTCATGTCTTACACTGACTGATGTTTCCCTTCACCCACTTTTCTGTTGTCTGTCAACCTGGGAAAGGGTTATATGTAGATCATGTGATCGGTTCCCTCTTCTCCCCACACCTTCCCCTTCCCCTCTCTTCCCCTCCTGTTATCGCTACTCTCATTATTGGTCCTGAGGGGTTTATCTGTCCTGGATTCCCTGTGTTTCCGGTTCCTATCTGTGCCAGTGTACATCCTCTGGTCTAGCCAAATTTATAAGGTAGAATTGGGATCATGATAGTGACGAGGGTGGGGGGGGGGGTATTTAGGAACTAGAGGAAAGTTGTATGTTTCATCATTGCTACACTGCACCCCGAATGGCTCATCTCCTCCCCGAGACCCTTCTGTAAGGGGTGTCCAGTGGCCTGCAGATGGGTGTTGGGTCCCCACTCTGTGCTCCCCTCATTCACAAGAACACAGCCTCTTTTAACCATTCTGCAGGCGGGGGGATGTCAGTTGCCTCCGCATCGACTCCAGAGTAGAACTGTGCTCCAATGGCAGTTTGGCTTTACTTTTGAGGCCCCTTGGGTAGACGTGAACCCCCAATCCTCCAGCAAACAGCCAAGAGTGTTCCTGCTTATGTTCCAAGGGCCTGCAGGAGGAGCATCACCGCTCGCCTCCTTCCCGGATGCAGTAACTTGAGGGCAGTGGGCTTCAGTGGTCATCTCTAAATGACCAACTGGGACTAGGCAGAACTGGTCCCTCTGTCCACCAGCTGCCCTCAGCTGCCTACCACCTGCATATCTCGCATATCCCTGACATATACCCCTGCACCTGGTGTGAGCAAGGTCCTCTCATTTAAAGTGGACACGCCTGCAGAGTTCCTGTTTGTTCTGTCTCCCCTTTCAGCCATCCTCTTTGTACGCCTCCCCCACCTATTTGACACGTTCGTGCGGTTCCTCCCGTCTTTCCCAAATGAGCACATTAACCACTGCCCTCCTGCCTGCAAGCTGGCCGTTCGTTTCCAAAACCTATTTTCCTGGCGGCTGGCTGGCGTCCACGCTGTTCTCGACAATGCTATAAAGGCAAAATGCAACCATTGCGTGAAAACGCACCAGGTCCGAACTCAGCGCACAAGAGGGTGCCAACACATTCGTCTCAGGCACACAGTTCAGATGCAAGTTCCCGACCGATGCAGGTCAGGGGCCCCGCAGGCCTCCTGACCCCCGACTGGCAATAAACTGCCACACAAGATTGTGCTTTCCCTTGGCCTAGGTTTGACGTGAACTTCCAGAGCGGCTACAGCCAAAATGACATCGCCTTCCACTTCAACCCCCGGTTTGAATCGGGCGGGTATGTGGTGTGCAACACGAAGCAGGCCGGCCACTGGGGCACCGAGGAGCGGAAGATGCAGCAGCCTTTCCAGAAGGGGAGCTCCTTTCAGATCTGCTTCCTGGTGCAGAACGCACATTTCCAGGTGAGCGGAACCCTTCCTCCTCCCCACCTCGCGCCCCACAGACTCCCGGCGCCCCCACAAACCAAACTCACTGCCATCAGGTAGATGCTGACCCTACAGGACAGGGTAGGACTGCCGTGCAGGTTTCTGAGGCTGTCACTGTTGATGGGAGTGGAAAGCCCCCTCTTTCTCCTGAAGTGCAGCTGGTGGTTTTGAACTGCTGACCTTGAGGATCGAAGCCCAATGAGTAACCATTGTATCACCATGGTGAATTGGTGGCCTTTAAATCGTCACATTCATTATGTTAGTCCGGGTTGACTAGAGGAACAAATTCATAGATACTTGCATGTGTATGAGAGAGAGTTTTATATAAAGGGTAGTTGTACATTAAGAAAACATCCCAACCCAGTCCAGTCCAAGCCCTTAAGTCCGTTATTAGCCCATATGTCCGACACCAATCTATAAAGTCCTCTTCAGACTCACGAAATACATGCAATGACACCGAATGCAGGACGATCACAGGCCGGTGGGTAGAAAGTCTTTGGATCCAGTGGCGGTGTAAGCATCTCAGCGCTGGCAGGGGTCTCCATGTGGCTTCTCCAGCTCAGAGCACTAGCTAGTTCCATGTGTCTTGTCAGGAGAGCGTCTCCCAGGGAGTGAGCAGAGAGAGAGGTGTCTTCCACCTCCGAGGAGGAAATACAGCAGTTCCCAGAATTCTCAGAAGGTCATGCCCACACAGAGGCCATTGGCCATCTCCGGATTGCCAGGCTAGACTCCGCCTCTTCACTCTTAATCCTCTCAAGTCCCAAATTGACACCAGATTATGTAACTACCACATTCATTGAGACAAATCGCCAAAAAACCCACTATTGCCATGCGGGGCCTCACAGAGAGCTGTGCAGTTTTCCCGTATGCCTGTTCTGCATCGGCTGGTGCAACTGCGGGCTTCCTTTGCTTAGAAACTCCAAACTGGACCCATCGCCGCCATGCTGCTTTGTGTCCTGGTGTGTCTTTGAAAACAATAAGAGCAAGCAAGCAAGCAGTCCACTGGTTTGAGCGTTTGTGGAGTGGATGCCGGCTTATGGAGACAGACCTGTGCCCCAGAGGATGGCCGTCGGTGGCTGGTTTCCCAGAAAGAGGTCACCAGGCCTGTATTTGGAGCACTTGAACATAGGGAAGGACTCGAACCCACAACCAGTTGGTTATCAAGCTGAGTGCATTGACTGTGAGCCCTCTGCAGGGACACGTCTTGGAAGTCCAAGTGAATTGCACCTATCGGCTGTAGCCCCCTCCTCCACTCCAGGTCCCTAAAAAAAATCTCATTTTCTGCCACAACGTCAGACCAGCCTTTCTTTAGCTTCCAGGCCTTGCTCGGGGCGGTAGGCCCTTGCAAATGCCTTCTGCAGGGAGCATCTCGGGTTGTGTGTGTGTGGGGGGGGCCTGTCTATGCTGGCGTGTGAGGCTAGGGGCATGTGCACCCACTCCATGCAACTTCTGGGGCTGGCTCTCCCTGCTCCCCAGGGTCATCCGCGGTGGGGCCGCCAAGGAGAGCTGCTTGGGGTGCCCTTGCGAGCCCGGGCCCCGCCTGTCCCGTAACTGGATATGAAAGGCATTCCTGGGGCTTCATTTCCAGAAGCAGTGGGGCTGGGAGGCTCAGGTGCAGTCTTCCAACTCACCTGGGGCTCGCCCTTCCTTGGCAGGTCACGGTGAATGGCAAACACTTCCTGCAGTACGTGCACCGTGTGCCCTTCCACCAAGCGGACACCATTTCCGTCAGCGGCGCGGTGCAGTTGTCCTACATCGGCTTCCAGGTCAGACCGGCACCTGGCTCCGGGCCTGGCTGTGCCTAGGTCCAGGGGGAGAACTTTACTAGCTTAATATCTGACCCAGATAGCTTCTGGGACACCCTCTGGCTTCCCTGTGCTGCTGTCTGCCCTCCTCCTTCTCCTCTGTCACCACGAGCCTCCTGTGTCACCATTTGTCTGGAGCACCCGCCCCAGGGCTCATCTCTATATGGCACCACATCCAAGCCCCGGGTAGGAGGCTGTGAGGGTCCAGAAAGAGCCCAGCCTGAATAATTGGGCTGAACCCAGTTCAGATGCCCAGCTCAGCCGTGCCCAGCGGCGGTGGGCCTAAGAGGAGTGACTCCATGGCTACCAGCCTCAGTTTCTTCATCTATAGAGTGAGCATAATCCTGGCTATCCGTGGGGTGTTGCGTGGCTCACATGAGACCACAATGAGGTCGCAACATGGCCCCTGTGGGCCTCACTGGGACTATGGGACCCTCTTGTGAGTTAAACATATTTCTCATGAATTGCCAACATCCAGAGAATGGGGGAGTTCCACGGGGGGCGGGGGGGAGCTTGATTCTGGCTTTCCCTGAAAGATGGGGAGGTTGGGCTCTGCTGGACCCACATCCTCAGGACCCGGTTGGCACTGCCACCACAGCTGGGCATTTAATGAAGCACACAGCAGGCCCGCAGTGTGCCCAGACTTCCCTTCCTCATGTTCCTTCCCGGCCACTGTCTCCTCCCTGGGGCACGGACAGAGAGATGACCCTGCCCTCTGGGCTTCCTGGAGCTTCTCCCCACTTCCCCCCGCCCCTTCCCCCTCCCCAGCCTGCCCAGCTCGGTCCCTGGTGCCCTGGCTCCACCTTCCCCCATCTGTGTCTCTCCACTAACATGTGTCTTCCTCCTGTGGTTCTTTTTGTCTTAACAGAAAAGACACGCAGCCCCTGTCCAGCCTGTCATCTCCACGGTGCAGTACTTACAGCCTGTTCGTTTGCCTCCCAAGCCCAAGGGGCGCAAACACCAAGTGAGCGAGGTCCAGAGGCCCTAGAGGCCGAGTGGTGATGGGGAAGGACAGCGGGTCCCCAGGGCAGCTTCTAACCACAGGCCACTAGGGCCTACAGGCCCCTTCAGGCACACCCATAGCTGGGACCAGGAAGTCATCCTTCACTCCCCCCCTTCCTCCTTCAAACCTCTCCAATGGGCCAACTGCTCTCCCTCTGCAAAGCCATAGCCATCATTCAGGCCACCGGGACCCCTGGTCAAGAGGACCATGATTAGGTCCCCGCGCCTACCTCCCACACACCAACCGCCTCAGCGACCTTCCTATTTCTACACAAGTCTGAGCACATCCCATCTCTGCTTAGAAATCTTTGTGACCCCCGGCCTGTCAAATAAAAGCCCCAGTTCCCCAGCAGAACACACAGACCTCTTTCCAATCTTGCCTCAACCTACCTCTCGGCTCCTCCTCCCTCCATGGAGCTCCTACAGCCTCCGCTGTTCAAAGGCAAACACCTCCCTGCCTGGGAGACCGTTGTCCCCATGTGTCCCTCCATGTCCGCATGGACTCTTGTATATATGTGCTGGTCACCACACTGCCTTGTCATCACGCTTAGACGTCTGTCCCCGTCATTCCACCCTCACCCCCTCTGATGCCCCTCGAGGGCCGCGATTGCGACTTGTTCACTTCTGTGCTCCCAGCCCCTTGTGCCAGGGGCTCAATCCAGTAGACCACCGGGTCTCCACCTCCCTCATGCCGTGACCCTTGCATACAGTTCCTAATGTGGTGGTGACCCCCCACCCATCACATTATTTTCATAGCTACTTCATCACTGTCATTTTGCTACTGTGATGATGAATTGGGTGACCCCTGTGAAAGGGTCATTCGACCCCCAAAGGGGTCGAGACCCACAGGTTGAGAACCACTGCACTAGATGGCTGTGGGATGCAGTTTGTACAGGCAGAGCAGGTAAAAGGACATCCCAGCCCGGACAAGAATCGTCTACTGAGCGGGGTCAACAAGACAGAAAGAGGAGTAGGACCACCTTTCATTTGGCCACTCAAGTAGGGGGATGGGGGAGAGGAGGAAGATTCTACTTACCCAGCTTTCCTGTGGCCCAGGAGGACCTCCTGCCTCAGGCAGGGAACCTTTGAGGGGCAGCCTAATGTTGGCCCTTCCTGGTGCGGATGGGTGCAGGGCTTGGCAAATACACTCAGACAGAACCGGGCACCACGTGGGAGTTTATGACTTGCACCTTGTGTGAGCTTGGGCCATTGATGAGCCATTCTGAGCCGGGAGCCCTCACCCACCGAACAAGGGCTAACTATGCCTCCCTCTGGGGACAGCCTGATGGCCCAGAGCTCCGTGTGGCAGAAGGCTTTCAGGAAATGACACTTGCTGGTTCCTGGGTGCCATGGGCCAGGGTCTTGCCTCTGGCCAACCTCAGACCAGCTCTCTCTCTCTGGGGGAAGCCCTAGTTCTCGCTCATCTGGGCCCGTTCTCACCCATGTAACCCACCTGGGAGGCGAGACTGTGGGCGCTGCAGGCTCGGGGAAGGCTCGCTTCCCGAGAGGAGGAGATGAATGAAAGTGAGCCTTGTGGGGAGCACTTCTTAGGACGGGAGCCCGTCCGTCCTCCAATCCAGCCGTGGTCTCCTCCCTCCCCCCATGTTGATTTCCCACTTCCTTTCTTGCAGTCTCCTGGCGCGTGGCCGCTCAACACAGCACCCATTGTGAGTCTCCCGTTCCCTGTCAGACCCCTTTCTGTCTGGGTCTTCTCAGGGGTTCAAAAGAGAAGGCAGGGCCAGGCCTGGGGAACAAGGGGCGTCAAGACCAGGCCGTAGGACCCTCTGCCTGGCTTCGGAGATAGCAGTGGGGGCAGGAAGAGTGGGAGGTGAGCCCCGATGAATGGGAAGTGGACCCAATGGGAAATGAATGGGCTGAAGCCCCTGCCCTTCTGTGGGAAACGGAGGCACTCAGTCCAGCGCTTCCTGTAAAGTGAGTTGACCTTTAGAGACATTTCCTGGGAGGAAAGATGGTCCAGAGGCCATAAATATAGCCCCTTTCTTCTCCATGGACCCTAACCTTGTGCCCTGCCCCATCCTCTTTGAGAGAAGAAACGCCCCCACTAGCCCATGTTGGGCATCTGCTCCCGGCAGTGGGTTGGCAGCACAGCCAATAATACCTCACCTCAGAGGCACCCTCTGGTGGCAGGTGGAGGTTTGAAAATGCTAAAACCAAATCAAAGCAAACTCAATGCCAGCGAGTCCATTCGGGCTCCCAGGGACCTTGTAGAACAGGGTAGAACGGTGCCCCTGTGGGTTTCCGAGACTGTAACACTTGATGGGAGTAGAGAGCCCCATCTTTCTCCCTAGGAGCCCCCGGTGGTTTCGAACTGCTGGCCTTGTAGTTAGCAGTTCAGTGCATAACCAATATGCCACAAGGGTGCCTTGCTAAGACAGCCTCCAACTCCCCCCCCCCCATTTTCTTTCATCCAGACTCAAACAGTCATCCACACGGTGCACAGCACTCCTGGACAGATGTTCCCGGTAAGCCTGAGAATTCTGGGCAGCTCACAGCCCCATAGCTTCACCTTCCACCCGGGACAGGCTTCCCAACGGATGCAGGGTGGGAAGAAAGATGGGACCTCTGGGGCTGGCCCAAAATGTGTGGCTCCCGCTCCCGTGGGGAGAGCCGAGTCCGGACCAGGCGGGGCGGGGCTTACCCAGCAGGTCCTTTAGGGGTAGGGATATAGGGAGAGCCGGGGCCCAGCATGTGGACGGGAGGGCCCATGGATGGGTCTCCCGAAGAAGAGTGCCCAAGACCCCAAGCTTGTCCTCTTCTGGGGCACTGCCTGGGGGGTGGGGGGCGGGGAGGGGCAGCCAGAAGTCCCACAGAGGCTGTGTGAGCAGGCAGGTGAATGGGAACGCCTGAAGGGTGGGGGTCCCCCTGAGAGTGTGCCCAGGTCATCGAGTTCCCTGTTCTCTTTTCGACAGAATCCAGTGATCCCACCTGTGGTGTACCCCAACCCGAGCTATGTGAGTGGTCTCTCGCAGAGGCGGGGAGCCTGCCTGCGCTCGCGTCCTCAGGCATGGTGGGGTGCGAAGGGCAGCTATGTGGGGGGGAGGGAGGGGCTCTGGCCTTGCCCACTTCGAAGCAGAAGATCCTAAGAACAGCCTGGTGGCGCAGGAGGTGGTGGGCAGGAGCTTGAGCCTTGAAGGGGGCCTCCTTCACCTGCTCCAACCAGGTGCCTTTTGTACCCAAGGTCCTTCCGTTGTGGTTTAAGCACATCCACTGGAGGGATGCAGGACGGGCCCCCTTGGTATTGCCTGGACCAGGAATCAAAGCCCTGTTACGGACAGGCTCTGGTGCCATGCTCAGTGGACAGTCCGAGGTCACTGTACAGAGATCAGGATAGAGTGTGGTGGCCGGCGGTGGCTCTGGCTGCCACTGGCTGACCTGCCCCTCCCCCACTCCCTCCACAGCCAATGCCTTACTGCACCAGCCTCGTGGGTGGGCTGTACCCCTCTAAGACTATCATGGTGAGGGGAACTGTCCTGCCCAGTGCCCAGAGGTAAGCTGGGGCTCCAAGGGTCTTGGGGGTGGGAGAGACCCCCGCCCCCAGACAGCCCTGGCCACCTCCTGGTCCCCAGTGGGCTGAGGAGGAGTGGGTGGGCCCAGGGCTCAGTGGGCAGAGGAGGCTGATGAAGCTGCCCACCTGCAGGTTCCACATCAACCTGCGCTGCGGGAATGATATTGCCTTCCACCTGAACCCCCGCTTCACCGAGAACGCCGTGATCCGCAACACCCAGATCAACGGCTCCTGGGGCACCGAGGAGCGCGCCCTGCCTCGGAAAATGCCCTTCACGAGAGGGCAGAACTTCTTGGTGAGGGGCTGTGCCTGGGGCTCAGAGGGGCTCCTGTGGGGTGAAGGGGGTGTGGGGGTGGGGGGAGCAAGGAGGAGGCGGGGGCATTTTGAATGGGATTCAGGCCGATGCTTCCAAGGTGAAGTCTGGGCTTGGAAGAAATCAAGAAAATTAGCATTATTCCTAGTATTATTATTATTTATGATTCATATTATTGTCCCGCACGAGGCAGGCGCTGGCAGGTGAGTTTGTAAGATGCAGCCACCACAGGAGTGCAGGTGCCCTGTCGGAGGTTGCACAGCCAGAAAGTGCCCAGGAGGGCCTGAAAACGAAGGTCACTCGCTCACTCTCTCACTTATTCACTCAACACATCCTTCCTCAGCTATGTGAGGGAGGGGCCACTGCTTGCCAAGGACACAGGCTTGCCTGCTGGCACCCCCACCCTCCGCACTGCCTGCCTGGACTGCTCTCCCTGTAGGTGTGTCTCCTTCAGGGCGGTGTCAGGGGGCCAGGTGCACTGAGGGGGGTGGGCAGGGCATGCTAAGCAGAGGAACAACAAGGGAAATAGCAGGAGGATTAGTGACGAATTAATGCCTCCTTGTGGCAAGAAGGCCTGCGGGTGGGAGGTCATCCTTAACGTTGGTGGCCGAGGTGGCCAGGAGCCCGCGTGTCCTTCGAGGAGGTATAACGAGGCATGTGCCGGGCCCTCTCCCTCCAGGTGTGTATCATGTGTGAAAGCCACTGTCTCAAGGTGGCCGTGGATGGCCAGCACCTGTGTGAGTACTGGCACCGCCTGAGCAACCTGCCGGCCATCAACAGGCTGGAAGTGGTGGGTGACATCCAGCTGACCCACGTGCAGGCATAATGAGATCCCAGGGTGGGCATCTCCTGACCCCGCACCTCTGCCCTCCCTGTCCCGGCTGGGAGTGGCACGCCGCTGCCCTTCCTTAGCACCCAATCCTATCATCCAAGGAGAGGGGTGCTGTGAGGTTCCCCTGGTCAGCCCCCCACATGGAGGGAGGGCCCTGAGCCTGCCCCAGTTCCCCGTGCAGGCCGGCAACCCCGCATCCTGTTCTCAACCAAATCCAATCCCCCATCAGATTTCTCCTTAGTCCCAAAGCCAGGACCCTCCTGTACCTACCCCCTCTCCCTATGCCAACATCTGCCTCCTACAGGAAGCCCACTCGGGTGACACCCCACTAAGACCACCCTGACCTGACCCTTCCCAGTGTCCCTGAAACAAATAAACATGATTGCCACCTGGCTGGGGCTATTAAATGTGTTTGGAGACTTCTGGGGTTCTCTGGAATTGGGGGTGGGGCTGTCTTTTAGCAGGCTGCTCCCTGTGGGTACCTCACAAACCCAGCACAGGTGCTTAAAGAGATACAGGCGCAAGAGTCTCAGGTGTTGGAAGACTGGGCTCCGAGGGGGACCCCAGAAACAAGCTGGTCTTCTGAGATGGGTACAGGGCTGGGGAAGCCATGGTGGCCAGAGACGATGGGGGTCCAGGTGGCAGGGAGGCCAGCAGGTTAAGAGGAGCCAACGGGGTGCTGTCCCTCAACATCGGAGATCACACTGTGTGGGGACAGAGTGCTTGGGGTGTGGGGTCTCCCAGCCACTGGGACAGGGCACCCAGCTGTGTATTACAAGAAGCCCACATCCCGCTGAGACACCAGCCCCTGGAGGAGGCAGGGTGGGACTCCAAGCATAGTCCGCGGGTCAACAGCTCAGGCGCCCCTTGGAGCTGGGGGTGCAGGAAATGCAGCGTCTCACCCCTTTAAACACCCCCTCCCCCCTTCCCTGAACGGATCTGAGTTGCACGGTATGTGGCCGATATAACAGGATCCCAGGGACTTGCTGCCCCATCCTCTGCTGCGGTCCGGGACTTGCTGGATGCGGCTATGCCCATTCAAAGGCTGGCACCCCCCGGGCACAGCCCTTCTCCCAACTGAACAGAGTAGCTGCTGCCAGAGGTGGGGCGAGGAGGGCAGGTGAGACCGAGGGAGAGAGTGGAGCTTCCTTGACCCCTGGCTGAGTCCTAGGGCGCGTGGCTCAGTTCCTTCTGCAGCTTTCTCTTGGTGGGCTCCACACCTCGAAAGAACCTGCATCTCGGGGGAGGGAGTCTCGTGCCCTGATTCTAGCCACAGCCTCCACACGCAGATCGACCTCACCTGTCTTACCCACACAAGCCTCTGGAAACGTGCGGCCCCCTGAGTGAGATATGGCGACTCTCTAAGCCAGACGGTGGCCCGGGCCATCCCTAAGGAAGTGGTGTCTTACACAGAATCGCAGCTCCCACCCCGCCCCCCATGCCCATGTGACGGATGCCCTCTGTCAGCGGCACAGCCCAGACCCCCAAAGGCAAGCCAGAGTTCCCTCGCCCATCACCAAAGAGCACTCGGCCATCCAGTCCCTTCCGACTCAGCCATGCTCCAGGACGGGGGAGCTGCTCGGAGAGTTGCTGAGGCTGCGAATCTTCACAGGAGCAGACAGCCTTAGCGGCCTCCCACCGATCAGCCGGGCGGTGGGGTGTTTGAACTGTCCACCTGTGGTCAGCAGCGCCGACCCTAACCCACTCTGCGACCAGGGCTCCACCCTGGGATTCAGAGGAACACAAAAGTCCTGCTCCACACGTGGGGACATTTCAGAGAAGACGCAGCCAGAACGTGGTGAGCATGTCCCTTTGCGGGAGCTCTTGGTGCCAGCTTGGCACCCCATATTCTTTACAACAAGTACCTCTTTATTGACAAAACGCACGCACACACACACACACACACACAGTGTGGTTAAAATAAAATGTATTTCACATAAATATTTCCATCCAGGAATCATATGGTATAGGCCCAAGTGGCTCACTGGGGTGTTTGGTTTTTAAATACAGAATAAATAACTGTACACAGGGATGCTAAATACAGAGTGGGTAGAGAGCGCCTTTTGGTGGTCGTTGGAAGTGGTGCACCAGAGGAAAGTCACCCGCCTCTTCCACCCCCTTGGTGGAGGCAGTCTCAAAGGGACCCCATCTGCCCCAGTTCTCCTTGCCAGGGATGGGGGCAGGTCGAGGGCATGAGGCGGCTCCAGCCAGCCCAGCTGCTGGTGGTTCAGGGCTTGAGAAGACAGCAGTGGGAAGATGAGGCCTGAAGCTTGGCGGGATCATTTTGCGCCATCTCCCCAGGCTCCAGGACCGCGGATAACTGGAAGCTGATTTCGTTACTAGATGGCCACGCCAGCGCCTTTTAACTTGTCCCCTAGGTCATCAGAGTTCTGGAGCTGCTGGGCCAGCCCGCCGCCGCCTCCTCCTCCTTTTTCACCTCGTAGGGAAATAGGGCACCAAAGATATCTTCATGGTAGCGCTTCTGGCTCTTGGAGGGAACAGGAGAGCCAGTCAGCCATCGCCCGAGGCCCACGCCCACCCTGCCATCACACCTTCATCCCAGAGCCCCGTGAAACTGCATTCACCTCCGGCAGGGTCTGGGCCGCTCTCCCTTCCTGCCCCGACCGGCCCCCTGCGCTGCCCCAGCAAAGGAGAGCTCTGCGATCATGTGAACTTGAGACATGTCCTGGGAATGGCCTCCCAGGCACACACACAGCAGTGCGTTAAAGAAGTCTTGTTGCAGAGGCTGCCAGGAAGCTCTGATGGCAAAGTGGTTCTGTGTTGGGCTGCTAACTGCAAGGTCAGCAGGTTCGAAGCTACCAGTAGCTCCTGGGGAGAGAGATGGGGTTTTCTACTCCCATAAAGAGTCACAGTCTTAGAAAACCGCGGGGGGTGGGGGGTGGTTTCTACTCTGTCCTATGAAGTCACTGGGAGTCGGAATTGACTGGATCGCAGCGCGGTGTTTTGTGGGATGCATCCCAGACTGACTCAGCCGTCTTTGACCCTTTTTGCTGGCAAATGCCCACCCATCCGCCCGCTGAACACTTTTCAGATGTGCCTGTGACCTTCAGGCTGGTCTTGAGACGGCTTGTCCCACCTCAGAGCCTTTGCACCTGCTGTTCCCTCCACAACAGCCCGGCACTCTGTTTCCTTCAACATTCACAGGACTCGCTTCTCCCCATCTCTGAGTGTCTTTCATTTGTTTCCCCCTCAAATGTCCCCTTGGTGACACCTTCCCCGACCCCCTACTTAAAACGACAGCCCTCAACACACCCTGCCCTGCCTCCTGACTGAGCTGCTCTCCCCGCACGGCACACTCTGCTCGTTCACTTTCTCCTCTGCCCACCCGACTAGAAGGTATGCTCCCCCGGGTGCGACTCTTTGCGGCTTGGCCCTCTCGCCAGCACGAAGTACCAAAGACCAAGTTCACTGCCACCCAGTCGATGCTGACTCACGGCAACCCTGCAGAATTGCCTCGGTGAGTTTCCAAGACTGTTAACTCTTTATGGGCGTAGAAAGCCTCATCTTTCTCCTAAGGGGCCGCTGGTGGTTTTGAACTGCTGCCCTTGTGAATCACAGCCTAGCGCTGAACCACTATGCCACCAGGGCTCCTCCAGCGCAGAGCAGGTGCTCAATAAATACCAGTTGGATGGATGCATGTGACAGAGGCACAGGAGTGTCAGGCAGGGAGAGAGGCAGGCTAACCTCCAGGCACTCACCCCCCTGACTGCGGGACCCTGAGCCCCTTCCTCCCTACAGAATTGGGGGGACCATGCTCCTTCACAGAGGCCTCTGGAAGACGGGAGGAAGCTGCCATGAGCATCCCTGGCACGCGGACACCCCATGTAAGCCCTGGAGAACAGTCATCATTTAAATGCACCTCCTGCCCTGCAGCCCTGCCTGGGTACCAATGGGCAGAGGGTGAGCAGATGCCAGCCTGGGCGTGAACAAGTGTGAGGCTCTCAGGAGCTGACAGAGGCGAGGCGATGGCCTTCCTATCCTGGTGCTCACAGCCCCGCCTTCTGTGCGGCGACACAACTCTGCCTCCATTCTATGGGGAAAACCATTCTCTGGCTTCTCCAAGCTACTGGGCACCGGACCAAGCTGTACAACAACGTGGTATCCTAACAGCCACCTGGCACTGAACACCAGCTCCTTTGGGAGACCTTTGAGGTCCAAGACTCTCTCCCTGATCCCAACGCCTACCTCCTGGATCCCTGTTTCTACCCAATGACCAGATCCTCCCTGGCACCGGATTCAGCATTGACTTGAGGGCAGTGAGTGAGAGAGCTGAGGGGCTGGAGACCCAGAAGCCTGCAGTTAGCCTCTTGGCCACCAGAGGGTGGGCCGTGGTCAAGGCCTAACACGCATTACCCTATCAGGGCTCCCTGCCCCCTACCCCCACCCCCACACCACTAGCTCACACACCAGCTGCCACACCTTGAGCTGGAAGAAGTAGTCCTCCACCTGCTCCTCGCTCAGGCTCAGCTGGGCAGCCAGCAGCTGTTTCAGGGTGTGGGCCACGTCCCTGGCCATGCGCACATCCCCACAGACGTAGAGGTGGCCGCTCTCTTGGTGGAGCACACGGAGCACCTCGTGGGCCAGCTGCCGCCGCAGGATGTCTTGAACATAGACCTGAAACCAGAGGCAGCGGTGGAGCCAGCGCCCACCCCACGGCGAGGTCCTGCTCTTGGGAGAGGGCCTGCAGGCAGCAGCTGCTGGCACACACAGGGAGCAAGCCAGGGAGCTGCCTTCCCAGCCGGGTGGGGACAGGCCCAGGATCAGGAGGTGTAGTGGCAGCCTGATGGCCCAGGCCCTTGCCGGGGCTGGGGCTGCTGAACCAAATGGCGACACAGCCCAGCCTTCACAGAGCTGACAGCTAGCGGGGCTCCCAGCCTTCTCTGAATTCCCCGTGCTTCAAAGAAGACTGTGGAGCACAGTGCCCCCACCCAGGCTCTGTGGCCAGACTATACC